TAAGCCTACGTACAAAACTAAGCCTTAGCTTAGTCGGTTAATCTTGCGTTTATTATTTACACGAACATAAGCCGTAATCAACAAAAATATTTTTTAAATATCATGTACTCATAACGACCGTGTTGTGTAAAGAGCTTTTAGAACCCTTTTCTAGCAATATATTTCGTTCACGTGCCCGCCCAGAGCTACATAAAGGCAGTAAAACACAGCGTGCACATTGTAATTCTGTATTATTCACCGAATTATCTGCACTGAGATTGTCATTTATAACTGACTCAAAAAAACGAGTAGGTTAAATATTAGTCGCGTACGTTTCTTTGTGATGTTCAGTGATTTCTCGGCATCGGATTAACCGATTCAAGTGATTGTTTTATGTCTGTATTGGGGTTCTATTTATATTTTAAAGAAATAATCCACTTCCCAGGAGTGGATATGAAGTTTTTACTGTAACTATTATAGTGATATTCTAGTTAATATAGAATTTGTTGTATTGTAAGGCTGGCAACGCATCTGCAATTCCTCTGGTTCCCCTGGTGTTGCAGTTGTTCATGGGCGGCGGTAGTCACTTACCATCAGGTGAGCCGCATGCTCGTTTGCCCCCTCTCCTATAAAAAAATAAAATAAAATGGTTAGTCCACTCAAAACGGTAAGAAAGTTATAAAACTCAAAAAGTCAATTTTTTTAAATTTTAATTATTATTATATTCTAAATAGTCTTTGTAGACAGTTTTTATTTATGTTAAATGTTTCTCTTTAATTATCTTGTAGCTACTCAAAGTGTAAATTCAAGTATTTCCTTCAAATTATTTTAGTCCAGCTGAATGTTGTTTTACGCAAAAGTGATTCAACCTAGAAGTAAACTCAGACAATGACGCCTCATATTTGAATCAGTTATCAGTGATGCATTTTTCCACACTCGTTTATATTAGCTTGACCTGTATTACTCTATATTTATACGTTGTAGAACCACGCTGCAGATATATAATGGTTGTAGCGCGAATGGGTTGGGGAATGACCACGGTCTCGGTCTCACAAAATACTCGCGTAAAATAAAATAATAGCAGCTTAATGCTACTGTGTTTTGTATGGAGAGTGTAGACAACCGGAAACCCATTTTACTGAAAATGAGGCATTCCATCTTGGTCTTCAGGTGAAATAACGCATATGCAGGTTGATTCTTAATTAAAGATTAATGTACATAGATGTTTATTGCACACATCAGATGGACTGTGTGCTCGTTTGTCACGAGGGTAAGTGGCTGCTGTGATCCATAGACATCTACATCTATCCTCAATAAAGACTCAAAATGCAGATGCGTTGTCATCCGTGAGGATTAAGATTATATGCCTATTTTCCAATAAAAATGTCTCTGGTTCTCTACAATCACCACACGAAACACCGCAGTGTTAAGCTGCTATTTTACGCTGGTATTTTGTGAGAGCCTGGTCCTTCCCCGGTCGAGCCGACCCATTCGTGCCACAACTATACTACTCATATAGCTGCAGCATGGCAATATTACGTATTAAATTGCCTTTTTAAATGTATTTATTATGTATGTATGTATGAATGTAATGCAATTTTTTATTCAGTTTTCCCTCCCTTCCGGAAGTTTGAATAATCTTAAGCTTTGCAGACTTATAAAGTACCGATGAAAACACCAAGATTTGATGAATATGACCTAATATTCTTATTGTATTCATATTTCATTATCAATGCGTGTTGTTTTACTTTTTTTTAGCTCTTATTTGATTTTATTTTGATAGCAATTGACTGCCATTATTGATTGATGCCATGCCATTATTATCTTTCTCTACAAATGTAAAGATTTTAAGGGTTATTGTGGATTTTTGACTAGAGTGGATACCGTGTTTACGTAATGAAGTCCAGTTGTCGTTAAATATTAAAGAAACTAGGCTAGCGCTTGTCCTTGGCACCGAAGTTTTTACGTGGCGACTTTTATTAGAATATTTTGTTTCTGAGTAAATAAACTGAATTCATAATGATTTGAGTAGTTTTTATAACACGTCATGAAGTTATATAAAGTATTATAGTAAAGTATTAAAGGCATTTGCATAGGAGCTCGTTGTGTCGACATTACAAGTACAATAGAATAGATTAGAATAATTATTATTCAATATAGCTTATAGTGCATAACACTTATTGAAAGACATTTTTACTTTTACCATTGGTTTGCAAAAAAAAACCTCTGTCTGGGAAGAACCAGGAAGAAACTCAGCGGCAATTTTAAAAAGAAGCACAATTTACAATATAATATTATATACCATTGTTATGAAAACATTTAGCAAACAGCAGTGGTCACCTCGCTCCCAAGGGTTATTATCAATCATGTACTCTTTAGTAGTATAATAACCCTTACTAGACGAGTTTTGCTTAATAAATAATTTAAACCTTTTGATAGAAATGGTCTGCATATTCTCTGGGACTTTGTTGTAAAGGCGTATACATTGCCCCATGAAAGAATTACTGACCCTTTGGAGTCGAGTCACTGATATAACTAACTTGTGCTTGTTCCTAGTATTTACAGAATGTACATCACTATTTTCAATAAAACTATTTTTGTTTATTGTGTACATACAATCAGTTTTCGTAAATATATTGAGAGGCCAAAGTAAATATATTTATTTCTTTAAATTTGTTTCTAAGAGATTGCTTCGGACCTAGGTTATAAATTGCTCTTATGGCTCTCTTTTCCAAAAAAAAGACCTGTTTCAACACATGTAAGGCATCTAATCTCTTTTACAGCATATGCTGCAGAACTAAGTTTGCTTGCTAGTTTATATATGTGAGAGCCCCATTGAAGCTTCGCTTAACTCTAATTCTGAGAAAAACAGTGGATCCAACAAGGCACAGCTCCTCCTCTTTTAAAAATACATTGGCATTTACCTGTTTAACATTAGGTGTGGTGAATTTAATACATTTCGTTTTATTACCGTACTAAAGCAAATTATTAACGTTAAGCCAGTGTATTACTTTTGATATAGCATTATTCACTTCGTCGTATTTAAATAATTGCCTTTTTAGTCGGAAAACCAACGAAGTAACATCAGAAAATAATACTATATCATGGTTATTCCCTATTATGTAAGGTAAGTCATTAATATAAACTACAGAAAGGGATCAAGAACTGAGCCCTAAGAAACACACACAGATACTACCCATCCGGTAGAACTGCAGCCATTAATAACACTTGATTACATTCTATTATTTAGATATGACAAAATAAGTTAAGCGCTATGTTTTTACACCATAATGATGGATCTCCCTGATTAATGTCTCATAGTGAATATAGCCAAAGCCTTGGAAAGATCACAAAATATACCCAAACCATCTTCTGAATTTTCCCATGCACAGAAAATAAGTTTGATTAGTTCAACACCGGCATCTGTTGTCGAGCGACCCCTTGTAAATCCAAACTGATTGTTATGTAGTAATTTATTAACGTTAAAAAAACATTTGATCTAGAATAATTTTTTCAAAAATTTTACTGAGCGTTGGCAGTACAGAAATAGGTCTAATATTAGAGGGGTGCAATGTACTACCAGATTTAAATAAATATAAAGTCATATAAGTTTAAAATATTTATGTCAATCACATGATATTTAACATTATAATTCTTACAATTAAGCGGCAACATAATCACAAGATTAATTTCCTCCCAACTGTAACAATTTATAACATTATAAAATGTATATATAAGTTAAAATTCTGAGTCCAAGGCAACTTACTCATCATAGGGATACATTCGAAGTCATGCCCAATATAAAAAGTACCTAACAGTTGTTGCTAGACGTATAATTCACTTTCGTAAGATTAATTGTAGAAGCGAAGCGAAGAAGAGGGGTCATTGTAGAAGCGTGCTCGTCGCGACCCCTGCCAGCCCTTTTCAGGGCTGCAATTCTACTCAGCTGCGCACCCATGTCAACGAGGGTTAGGGCGTCCCCCCAAGGCGACGCACACCAGCTCGTCCCCGTTGGTGTGGAATGCAGCGCGCAAAGCGGCGATGGGGACCGCCACCCGTCACGCACAGCCCGACACGGCGGAAGGTGGAGGACGGAGTGCAGAGTTGGCACGTGGAATGTTAGAGGAGGCATGAGAGATAAGACGAATGAGTTGATCGAAATAATGAAAGAAAGAGAATTAGATGTCGTGTGTATGTCGGAGACCAAACGGAAGGGCAGTGGTACTGAAGAGCTCCCTGGCGGGGCGTTTGCTCTATGGTCCGGAGTCCCGGAGAGCGAGAACGCCTGCCAGGGAGTGGGGGTGCTGCTGTCTTCGCGGTTGGTCGATGTTATGACTGAATATAAGTTTGTGAACTCAAGACTTCTCTGGGTTCGCTTTAAATTGGGACTGACGAAGTTATTCTTTTTGGCTGTTTATGCGCCGGTGGCTTCGTCGTCCAGGGCTGAGCTGGAGGAGTTTTGGGAGAATGTAAGAGAAGTTCTAGATTTGGCTAAGGGAAACGAAAGGGTTGTTGTATGTGGTGATTTGAATGGATGGGTTGGTACCGCTCGACCAGGGTACGAGTCGGTACTTGGAAAGTTTGGCGATAAAAGGGTTAATGATGCTGGCAAGCTTATACTGGCGGTATGCAAGGAAAAGGGTCTTCTTGTGACAAACACTATGTTTAATCACAAGAAAATCCATATGTATACTAGAGAAAGAACGAATGAGAGAAGTATGATCGATTTGTTCCTGGTGGATGACCGACTGCGAAAACAGGTTATGGATACGCGAGTGTTCAGGGGTGCTGACCTGGGAACGGATCACTATCTAGTGATTACTAGATTTAGGGGTCTGTTCGCGGGTTGGCGCTACCGGACGACAGTGACAGAACCACAGTCGGTCTGTCGCATCCGAAGCTGGAAGCTTCAGGAAGCGGATACTAGGGACAAATATCATGCGAGGGTAGCCGAAAAGCTTGACACCATCGATGGCAGAAACGAATGTGTAGAAAGAACATGGCAGAACCTTAGGGATGGAATGGTAAGTGCAGCGGAAGAAGTGTGTGGAACAATAAAAAGAGGCAGTAGTAAAAGAAGAGATGCATGGTGGAATGATGAAGTGAAAGAAGCTGTAAAGAAGAAGAAGAAAGCATGGTTAGACTACTTGGCCTCTAGTAATGATAAGGATATGAGAGAGAAGATGAAAGAAAGATATAAGCTGCAGAAAGTTCACACGAAAGCATTGATTGAGGAAGTGTGTGAAAGGTGTAGAATGGAAGCGGATGAAAGGTTGTCGCACAACTTTAAGGAGAACTCCAAACTCTACTGGAAAGAGGTTGGAAGGACCCGAAGTGGTGCGACGGCCTTAAGAATGAACAAAGTGCTTTCGAGAACTAATGACGTCCTCTCAGAAAAATCGGACGTCATGCAGCGATGGAGCGAATTTTATAGAGAAATGTATGCGTGTGATGATCTTAGTGAGGGATCCGGGGATGACGCCGTGACTGGCACGCCAGACCCGGACCTCGATGACACTGAGGTCATCAGTATGAAAGAGATTGAACGTGCGATTCGAAGTTTGAAATGTGGTAAGGCTGCGGGACTAGACAGAGTTACTGCTGAAATGGTCAAGTATGGTGGGCCTCGCGTCTGGGACAGCTTTCATCTGCTGTGCAATTTGTGCTGGCGGACGGGGGATGTCCCGGATGATTGGCGATCCGCAGTCATTGTGCCTTTATATAAAGGTAAAGGTTCACATTTTGACTGCGGGTGCTATCGGGCGATCAGCTTGACCAGTTTAGCAAGTAAAGTTTACTCGAAGGTTTTGACACGTAGGATGCAAGAGAAATCGGAAAGATTTCTATGGGAGGCTCAATGCGGATTTAGACCTGGAAGAGGATGCACGGATCAAATGTTTTCTCTCCGTATGATCACGGAAAAGCTTCTGGCTGTTAACCAGAAGATTTTCTGTGCTTTTGTGGATCTTGAGAAAGCATTTGATAAGGTTGTAAGGAAGAAAATGTGGGAACTGTTGCCGGGGTATGGTGTGGATGGCCGATTGCTAAGGGCTGTGCAGTCTCTTTACTGTGACTGTAAAGCCTGTGTGCGGGTAGGGCATGACCTGTCACCCATGTTTAGCGTCCAAACGGGCGTAAAACAGGGTTGTGTCATGTCTTCCTGGCTGTTCATACTGTATCTCGACAGCTGTTTACAAAAGCTGAAAGATAGCTGTTTGGGTGTGAAATTGGGTGACATAAAAGTAAATTGTCTGCTGTATGCTGATGATGCAGTGCTTATTGCACCATCAGAGGCAGAACTGCAGGCATTAGTCACGTGTATGAAAGAGGAATGTGAAATTAAAGGTCTCCGTTTGAATGCTAATAAAACTAAGGTTCTGGTATTTGAAAGGGACGAAGAGAGAACGAAGTGTGAAATATGGGTAAATCAGGAATGTCTAGAACAGGTAAATGAAATTGTATACTTGGGGAGTGTTTTTAGCCGGGATGGAAGATGTGATTTAGATGTGGACAGGCGTGTCGCTGCCGGGAACAAAGTCAATGGTGCCCTGACTGCGTTAGTCAAAAGGCAAGGCGTAGCGAAGAGTGCACGCCTTGCAATACATAACGCAGTGTTGGTACCGACTTTGTTATATGGCAGCGAAACCTGGGTATGCCAGAAGAAGCATAAAAGTAAGTTGAATGCAGTGGAGATGCGATCTCTTCGTAAAATGTGCGGCGTTACTATGGCCGACCGAAAGCGAAACGAAGAGATTCGCAATATGGCAGGTTTGAAAGATGACCTTATCACAAAAATTGATAAGGGCGTGCTTCGGTGGTTTGGGCACGTTGAGCAAATGAGTGAAGACCGAATGGTGAAGAAAATATATAGCGCGAAAGTTAATATTAAAAGGTGTCGAGGTAGACCGAGACTAACTTTCGAAGACCATGTGAGCAAATTGCTCGAAGAGGGTAGGGTCAAGAGTACTCGGATACCTAGACGTGCATGTATGAAGAAGATAATGAATCTGAAAGAAGCGAAAGAGATATGTAAGGATCGTGACACTTGGCGATCTGTTCTCTCTGGCTACCCCGTCAGGGATTGTGCGTGAAGATAAGTAAGTAAGTAAGTAAGATTAATTCTACTTACGCAGTTGTGCAAATTAATGCAAGTTTCAGAAACTTGCTTCTGTATTTATGCAGTATTTTATAATGTCGAATAGTCTCTGAATAAATTCCTGTGACAAAATTTACTATGTAAATTGATTGACATGATCATCATCATCATTATCATTACAGCCCTTCACAAGTCCACTGCTGAACATAGGGTCTCCCAAGGAATGCCACAAAGCACGGTACTGTGCCACCTGCATCCATGTCTTACCAGGTCGTCAGTGGATATTCCTACACCGCTACATTTCATCGAGAAACTTATAATATTATTATGAAAATAAGGTAATCATTTTTATACGTCGTCCCACTACTGCAGACATACCTTATCTCGCTTCTGACAGGGGTTTTAGGGCAGAGAAGACTACAATTTATACCGGCATACTTCACATCTCCTCGAAATATTTTTAACTTCTCAGACGAATGTGTTTCCTTCCAATCTTTTATTCACCGCCAGTCATACAATAAATCTATACTTAAAATAACGTAAGAATATGTGTAGTTAAAAAATCACAGTCGAATTGTTAACATTTTTTATTCTTTGAAGTCGGCTAAAATTTAACTAAATATAAATATCATCGGATATTGTTACAATTTTTACCTAAACATGTGAAAGTGTGAATCTTCCGACGGAAAAATCAGCAGTCTTCTCGGATATTGTGTTACATAAAAATACGGTTGAATTTATAACTTTCTTAAAGTTAGTTAAAAATGGAAAGCGAGTAGTAATCCGTATATGAATATTATAATTTCGAAGAATTTGCTACAACTTCCAAATTCTATCAAATGCTGTATGCTACTATTGACTAGACCCGTGGATGTCATGAGAGGCGACAAAAAAAAAACAAACCACGAGGTGGGCAGTAGTGACTTCATAGTAAAAAATAAAACTAAAAATTTTGCAAATGATATTTGCAAAATTTGCATATACGTTCTTGCTTTATGTGTACAAACATAAGACCTAAAACCTATTCCAAAATCAAGACACACTAAAGAATAAGATATCTGTTGAATTATTCAGGATGCTAAAAGAGTAATCATGTTGGACAACAATGAAAGCGCAACTGTACACTGAAAAGAAAACACCCACTTTTATCCAAAAAGAGTCTACAATGTAATCACGTTCTTTACCTCCACAACAATGCCCGAGCATATTTAACAAAAATTACACGTAAAAACTTACTAGAATTCAATTGAGAAATAAAATCTCACCGGATTATATACCAGATCTCGTTCAAACAGATTTTTATACTTTCCTGTCACTACAATAGGAGTATTTGAAAGACAAATAATTTTAAATATCGATATAGAAAAAGGACCTAAAAATCAGTAAGTTAGGGTTTTTATGATCATATTATTTATGCCCTGTTCGATCGAGGAAGGTCATGTGCTTAGACGACGTTTACGTTACTGAATAATGCTGTATATTTTTAAATAAATGCTCATTAAAAGGATGTAATTCTTACTTTTTGCAAAAACAAGTGCAATAACAACCTTATGTACGTCCGTATTATATAATATTTTTGACATTACATCTATAATTGGTGATATTTCAAAAACTATATTTTGATTTAGGCTATTTTCGGGTGCGTTTTTAGTGCAATTGTTTTATATATGAATTATTCAATAAAAAGGGAAAGCATTTTTCTCCGGGAAAGAATAAAAAATATTTTTAGGAATTGAATTTTAAAAAGGGGCACAAAAAGATCTGAATCATAAAGGAACTCACTTACAAAAATCCTAAATGATCAGTTAATGGAGACTACTTCAATATCACAGAAAAAGAAATGTGAATACAATTGAGACGAAATTAAAGAAAATCGCCTTCGAAAATAAATTTCTTTCAAAGGTTGTTTTTCTGTAGTCGAACAAAATTCATTACTAATTCATTAACCAATACGAAATGCTTTCAGTGTTCACTAACAGAAAGAAGGTAAAAAAAAAAATGTGGGTTGGAAACATAAAGGATGATAGACCGACAACCTAAAACTACTGAGCGGGACATCAGTGGTCGTAAACCTTCCAAATGGTTCGACAAGATTTAGGACGCGCCTGTCGACTACTTTCGACAGAAAAATGAACATGTCAATTGTGAACGCATAACAATAAAGTTAGATAAAATGTAGTGCGGAAACTATCGTACTTTTTAGTTTTCCGTGTCTAATGTGCTAACAGAGTACAGCACTTACCGAATCATTTTGGTGTCCATCCGTTTCGCCTGTCGCACGTGATTTTTGTCAGGGAAAGAAAGAAAATACGTTTATAAATACATCAGTAAAGTATCAACACATCATAAATATAATAAATAACACTCACTAATGAACTACTAAAAATTTCATAACAGAAAAAAAACAATAACTACTACGTATTGATGCAAGATCAATCAATCAGCAGTCTCCCTCACGGCCACTAGACGAAAGATACAGTCACTATATGCTACGCATTAGTAATGGACTGCCTGGTGATGAGAATGATTAAATGTTTTATACGTGGTAGAGCCATTCTGCAGCTATATAAGTAGTATAGTTGTAGCACTAATTGGTCAGCTCGACCGGGGAAGGACCACGCTCTCACAGAATACCAGCATAAAATAGCAGCTTAAAACTGATGTGTTTTGTATGGTGAGTGTAGAGAACCGGAGAACCTTTTTACTGGAAAAGAGGCATTCCATCTTAGTCCTCACGGTTGACAACGCAACTGCATTTTGATTCGCAAGCGAGGACAGATGTAGATGTCTATGGGCCACATCACCCACTTACCATCAGGTGGACTGTGTGCCCGTTTGTCACCCTATCCTATAAAAAAGGTCATGTGAGCTGTGTCTCACCAGCAACGCAAAATCAGGAATTTGCATTTAGAAAAACCCAACATTAGGGTTTTTTAGGTGTGAGCACCTTAGTTGCCAAGTTAAAAATTAGGTGCTCTAAAATTTTCACCGCAATGAACTGTTAAAAGTTGCGTTGGTAGCAAAACGTATCGCAAGCAACGCAGTGACGCAATAGATGTACGATAAATTTTAATAGAAAGGAATTAAGTGCTAATTAGGTGCTGTAAGTATAAGCAATGTCAAGGCGCCCCTAATAAAAATAAAG